GTATGGATTGACCCTATGATGAAATAAATAATTTAATATCTTCAATATTCACGTGTATCTTTTTTTTTTTACTTTTAATAATTGTCCCTAGTTTTAAGGTAATGGTCTTTGACATACTAATGTATCTCCACCACTGGTACGACTGTGAAGTTAGCAATTCCTATATAGCAATTCCTTATCACATATAAAACTCAAATACACCGCTAGAGGGCGCCACTTATTTAAAATATATGTTTTATTATAAAATAGTTTCGGAAAAATTCTGAAGGGTATTCTTTTAAAAATTATATTAAAAAAAAAAACTTATAAACATTATAGTAATTTGTATATGGCATTAGTCAAAAATGGTACTCGAGTTTCCAAGTAACCCGTTTAAAAGAAATTGCAGGGCAATATCTGCGGTAATAACATTATATATTCTCCGACCTGTGAACGGTTTTTTGTACTTTTGATAAAGTTCCGAGACGAGTCCAGGCAATAATTATACACCAAATTAAAGCTTATAAAATATGCTATCGAATGGCATTAGTCAAAAATGGTACTCGAGTTTCCAAGTAACCCGTTTAAAATAAATTGCTGGGTAATATCTGCGGTAATAACATCATATATTCTCCGACCTGTGAACGGTTTTTTGTACTTTTGACAAAGTTCCGAGACGAGTCCAGGCAATAATTATACACCAAATTAAAGCTTATAAAATATGCTATCGAATGGCATTAGTCAAAAATGGTACTCGAGTTTCCAAGTAACCCGTTTAAAAGAAATTGCTGGGCAATATCTGCGGTAATAACACTACATATTCTCCGACGTGCGACGGGTTTTTTGTACTTTTGACAAAGTTCCGAGACGAGTCCAGGCAATAATTATACACCAAATTTTTATAATTATAATCAATTTTTAAAATACACTTAATTGAGTAAATTTCAGTTGTTGTTTAGTTTCTATGTGAAACTAATATTGAATTGGTTTTGTAATGCTTTGCGTTTTTTTATATTTGTCAATAAAAATCTCAACTCTCNTTTTGTAATGCTGTGCGTTTTTTTATATTTGTCAATAAAAATTCTCAACTCTCATTGGTCCAATTTTTTGTATGTATATACTCGTTTTTGACAAATTAGTAATAATCTCAAAAATATGATGATAAAATAAAAGTAATTGTCTATGTAAAATCAGCGCAATAATAGGTTTAGATGTGTATATTTTATAAATAGTAATTATATTCATAAGTAACAAACAATTTTTTTTTATTGCAACAAGACATTTAATTTTTATACACGTTTGCCATAAAAGTAAAACTGATCTATAATTTTTTATGATATCATCGTAAAAATTACAATACTATATTATTAAATATCAATTTCACTATAGTATATTTAATTTCTATAATAAATATTTATTCATATATAACACTTATAAATTATAAAATTTATAATCTGGATAAAAATAACAAAATAGAAGTTCATTCTGATTTTGGAATAATTCGACAATTTTTTAAAATTAAACACTATTTGCAGATTTACATGGAAGCATTACATATGATGGTGATTTTAATCACTGTTAGATATCATCTATACTTGAGCCAAGTATGCCACTGTTGTGTTAGCACCACTTAATAAAATAATTTATCTTGTGAATATAAATATATGTATGATTGATAGGGACATCCGCCTGTGGAATAAATAAATTGATTTTGGCTTTATCAATATTTACTATCGTTAGTCAGTCTATTGTCTACTGTTACAGAATAAACACTATAACTGTAAAGCATATTCTTATACTTGCATTGTTATTATGAAAGTTTACTTTGTATATATATACATTTATATTAATTTTTACTTTTTTTTTGTAACTTAATGTTTATCTTATAATACATTTTAATATTTATAACCAGCATTATTTCGAAAGTGTTAAATTAATTTCTTTATACATAATCACTACCTCCTATACACATCTTGAAGGGCTCTGTGCGGATAGCTCAATTGGAAGTCCAGACGGTAACCCGAACAACAAATAAATATTAAATTCCCTCAGGAGAGCCTTCCAGGTCCGCCACACCACGACTCCCATGATTTACCGTTTTAACATAATAAATTTCAATTTTCATAATTTTACTAAATATTACATTTTTTAATAATTTTTTGGTGAGCTAAATAGATTTTAAAGAAAAACGATTAGAACTTAATTTATACAAAACAATTCGATCTACAATTTAGTTTCAATAATTTTTGTTATGAGAGCGCTAATTTACGAGTTAATTGCTAAAAACTCGATAAAAAAAATCGATTAAAAGAGGTATTGCTAAAAACTACCTGTTTTTATCGATTTTCAACCCTAAGTCGGCACGGGTAAAACTTTTCTGATTGGTCTGAAGAATAACTAAAATTTTAAAAATA